TTCCATGTCCTGTTGCTTTCAAAGATTAAGTACTCATCATATTTATGTCTCAAATTTTGATGCTCCAACTTAACTGCCCAAAACACTACAGTGCTTAAGTTCACTAGAGCTAAGGATTCAAATAAATTTAATACAGATTTATGATTTCAGGATAAGTGTTCACAAAACACAAGAAGACAAAAGGAAAAGCTATTTATATGCATCTGAGAGAAACTATTTTGAGAAACACACTTTATACTGTATATAATGAACGACTCTAAAATAAACAAGTTTGTTTCCTTAAGATGTTCATTCGATAAGAAAAACCCTGAAGAAAGCTGAAATTTAGGAGGGAACATTTAGAAAACATAGGAAACTCCACTGATTTCCACTCCAAAAGCTGTAACACCCCTCAAATATTAGATTTAGCATGTAATTTACAATACACATATATTAATTAGGCTTACGCCATAATGACGTAACAGGCTCACACTTACCTTTTTCATTGCCGTTTGCATAAGTTGGAGGCTTGTTTTTGTCAATGCTATTAAAGCTCTGACTTCTCCTATTTAAATTAGAGGCTCCCTGGACCTTGCTGCTGCTGCCTGCAGCTGGCACCCTAGAGGGACCTGGAAGCCTGAAATAGTATAAGAAAAATTACATCATGATTGTACATTATGAAAATATGGGGAGCAGGAGGTTCTCGGCAGGAAAGAGTTAATGGGAAAATCACAATATATAATGTTCTAAAATCTACTTAGCAGAAAACATTGCTTTAAGTGACAAATAAACACAAGGTATGAGACTTCAGAAAAATCTTGTTTCACTTTTCAATAAATACGGCTCCAAAGTAAATTCATAATATAGAGCAATTAGAAATAAAGCCATCTTTTACTGAAAAAAGTCATACTTACCACACACCCCTGATGAATAAAACCTTGATTTAAAAGTACTGTAACAATTACATAAAAAGCAAAGGAAATAATAACATTTGACTTTATTCTGTTCTCAGGGCATTAATCAGCTACCCTCAGTTGTTGTCACGTTGTTCTTTTTGGTGTATGGGACATTTTGTTTTTTTCTTAGGCAGCTGTATCCTAAATCAACTTGTACATTAATAACAAGAAGAATAAAGTTACTGAACAAATTGCAAACAGTACTTAGTGAATATTTAAACTAGTTAGTTACTCTAAACCACATAGAGGAGAGCAAGGTCATGAGTTCATTCATATTTGACCGACCTATCTCCCATACAAACTTTCATTCTCTTGCTAGAGGGAAGCACTTAGACATTAGCTGGTGACCTCACAAGTGTGGTCAACTGATCACAGAGGTGATATGACAAGAAAGGATGAAGGTCTCGGAAGAAGAAAACCTGTTAGCAGAATGATGATTTAAAATACACCTATAATGACAGTAGCTTCAGCTGTTCTTTCTGTATGAAGGCAGGGTGTGAGAAAATATATGTAGACTATCTTTAAATTAGGGGAAGTTCCACAGAAAGTTATAATCCCCAGTTATTTCATTTGGACTATGGATCATTTATTTCACTGTTTAAATAGTTTCATATTAAAATTTTAAGTTCAATTATTTCATGAATTGTGCCTAAAATGTGCAGTTACTATGTTTTATTTTATACTACTATAAAATTTATATTATATATGCACATGTATAATAAGCTCAATCCACATGAATTAAAAACTAGAAGTTCAGAACTGATATTGGCCTTCGAGGATTTATTTAAAAACACGATATTAAAGGTTGCCAGCCACTTTGCTAGCATTTGCTGCCACCATCTGAATGCCACTGTGTACTGCTCTGATCATTTCTATTTTAAAAGAAAAGCAAACAAAAATAACCCAGAACTTATAAAACATCCCTGAAATTTTTACTGTTCTCTTTTACAAAATCCTTAAAATAAAAGAATGTTATATTGTGCCTAATAGATCAGTTTCACAATCCGTTGTGACAATATTCACATTTGAACTCAATTTATAATATTACTTCATAGATTATTTCTATAGATTATTAGGACATCAAATGCTTCAATAATATAAATACTTTTTAAATAGTAACAAGTATTGCAAAATGGAATGAACATCAGGGAAACACAAATGCCAGCTTAAAAACAGAAGTGTTGATCTCTTGGAATCGTTAATAGTTTCAAAATGTTGGCTGTATTTTGGAGTTTCCATACATGTGGCTGATAAAGAGCCCTGTCAGCTATTTTGCTAATTAGAGGTTGTGTCATACACAAGATTAGAATCTTTTCCAAAGGATTCCGCCATTTAACTTTTGTTCAAATGAGTCTACAGGCATTGTGAGTAAAGCACAATAACCACAGACATGAGAAATGTCAATGAGCAGTAATTGCAATCTGCAGAAAGAACTCAACTAATTAATTTGGCCAAATATCCCAATCATAATAATTCTGAGAACTAGTCCTACAGACACAGTCGTAGATTTAGAAAGTTCTTTCCAAACTCACACGCATAAACACATTTTGTCAAAAAACTTGCCCTGCTTACAATAAAAACTGACCTCTTTCTAGAAAGCAATTAAAATGCGTTTTCATCTTTGCTGCGACCCATGAAGCCAATTGATCTTTAGTTCTCAGAAGAAGAAATTAAAACAAATTAAGAAATCCATTTGCTCTTCCCATTACCCTAATTTGACAGGCAGCCAGAGCTCCAGATCATTCATCAAAGCAATACAAAGAGAAATGAGAATAAGGCAAAAAAAAAAAAAGAATGAGAGATATGCTATTAAATCAAAGTACTTAAAATATATTTTATATTCATGTCTTAGAAGTGGTCATAAAAATGCTTACTGTACATGGCAGGTCACTGTTCTTTGCACATCCTAATTTATAACATGTCTTCTAAATTTTAATTAAATGTCCTTTTGTCTCTCCAGAATCATTTTAATTACCATGGAAATGAATATAACTTAGAAAACCAAGGCAAGAAGAAAAGCACATACCTCAAGTCAAGGCATCATAAGCAGTGCTTGTAGCCAAATTATTATTATTAGAGCAGTGACTAGTACACCACCACTGAGATGCTTCCCCATTGAGTGAAAGGGCGTACACAATCACATGCTAATCAGGGGTGCAAAACACATTTGCTGTGGCTTCTCTCAGCTGTCCCATGCTACCTATCATCATGCCTTCAGCAACTTGACATTGAAAAGAAAATCAAACACTTTCAACACACTTTTATATACCAATATTTTCCAAACAGTATATAATGCACTGACATTTATTTTAATAGACTGTCTTTAAAATACATGTCATAAAGTAGCAAACATTTAAACTATCAGATAAAACAACAGACCAGGCTGACCTGGTGCTAACGTCCCCACAAAAATCTGCCAATGTTTCTTAATTCTGCTTCAAAATGTACAGTAATGAATGCATACCCATATCAAAAAGTGATTATAATTTTGGTGCATAACTTCAAGATTCTGTTACCTGGAAAGAATGGGCCCTTCAAAGCAATTTTTTCCCTTGACTTTCTCTATCCTAGTACTTCAGTCCAATTATAGCGCTATGCATGACAAAACTAAAAGAGAAGAAGCCAGACCCCATTTTAACAACCTTACACAAAAACCCTCATCCCTGAGACTGCTGCAGAAGGATATCCTCTTGGAAGAATTCAGTCCTCTAAACTCTTCATCCAGAAGTATGTAATGTTTGAAAAAATTTAGAATGATAGGACAAAAAAGCACTGGGCATTGACTTTATTATCTAACAAGCAATAAATTAGAGATGTTAACTGACCTAGTAGGCTTTTTTTGACTGGTTGCAATTCCACTGTGATTAGACTGAGTTGCATATCTGGCTGCCAGACTGTATGAGGAGAAACAGAGAAATTGAATTAAAGAGATTCTTTGAACATGGAAAGAAAGCACAAAGTTACAAGAAAACTATGAGTTAATGAAATGCAATTGGAACATGTATAAGCATGTATAAAGAACAAATTAATTAGAAAATCATGATAATGCAACATATATATCATGGTATTTGATTATGAACACATTATGAAATAATGCAGTGTACCCCTTGTAATCAAGTGTGTCATCACTGACTTTAAAATTAAGACTGTGTGATAGTATTCATATTATCTTAAGTAGCTTTATTTCATCTTATAAAATATTCAACATTTGTAAATGACTGTGAAAACTTCAGGAAAGCTAAAGTTTGACTTACACAATAGAAAGATCTCTGTCTCAAAAAGTTAAAAGGAAGAAAGAGCATTGAAATGCATCATTATTTCTTTAATAAATTCCTGATTTGCTGTTTTAACCTAACTATTATTTTGAAAATCAAGGGATTGAAATATCTGGCTTCTTCCTAATAGTAGCTTATTGATCTTTCATCCTAGTTAGAATATTTTAAGGAAGTGAACAATACTAGATGTTCTGAAGAAAGGTCTATGTAAAAATTGAGATTAAAATGGAGTTAAATTCTTCAAAAACAAAGTAAATGAACAACTACTGATGGCAATTTCTGGAAATTCCTGAATTATAATTCTTGGACCAAAATCTTTGATCAAAAACACAAAAGAAGGCCATATTTAAACCAAGTTTTGAAAAGCAGTGAATACTTTATAAGCAAAACAAAAATCTGTACTTTAAGTTAAACAGATTTCTGAATTCCCTAAGGACTCTGAAACTGGTGTTCTGAAGGATATTGTGAGACCCAATAGACCTGAAACATGCTCACAACCCCTGGGATGGTCATGAGTTGATCGATGCCTGAGTGGAGAACCACTTCTTAGGTGAAGTGTGATGATGCTACTTGAACCCAGTTGTTGTGCATGCACAGTTTCCAAGGCCTCCAAGGAAACAGGAACAACGTGGGTGTGTTGGAATCAGGGTGGAAGGGACACTTGAAGCCCTGCTGCAGTTGGTCCAGTTGCTTTGCTGCTCAGCAGAGAGTATTTTAGTCAAGGGATGGACTTCTTAAGATGATGACAGTTTCCTAAGTCAACACTTACTCCACTGAGCCAGTCTGTGGGGGGAGCAGGCAGGTCC